GATCTTCGATTGAACTGCCATCCCTGCGAGACCACTTCAAGCAAGAGTCGCTACCTCCATTCTCCTCGCCCCGTCCACGAGAACTCCTTCCTTCGATTCTCACCCACTCTCCCCCCGGTCGCTCATCGACACTGCCTCCTATCCAGCGACGAGACAAGCTGCCTCGTCCACGCAAGTCCTCTATCTCTCGCAAGCTAAAGCATGACCGGACAAGATCGAAAGAATATGGACGACGTCCTAGCCTAGGGGATCGCAAAGCACTTTCGGCTGAGCCTCAAACGGCGGCTTGGGCGCAAGGCAAGCGATGGGAGGACCTGATTGAAGCGGCCACCTCGGCCACTGAAGCAGATGATGAGCAAAACTCGGATGTGAGTCATTGCACTTTTTAGCTGTTCGTCACGGACGTAGTTCATGGCTGACTGGACTAGATCGGCCATTCGCCGACAATCCCCCCTCTGATTTCTAACATAACGTCGGCTCCCGCTCCGAATCGTTCGTCGTTACCACCTGCTTTTCAGTCTGGAAGTCTGCCTCCACCTGCGTCGCATCGCCCATTCCCACCGCACTCGTACGCGGCATCGCCTTTACACAAGTCCCTCACTCCGCCGCCTTTTGAGACTCGCAGTCGGGATGGTGATCTCGAGCCTTTCCCCTCTATTGAATCGTCTCTTGATTCGTCGTCCACCACATCAGGTAAAAATTTCAGTTTCGGAAGAAACATGGGCACCTCTGCGAATTCAGACTCCAGTCCAGTTCTGAATCTGTTCCCACCTTCTGCGTCCCAGCGCCAGCACCACCGGTTCTCGAACCCGACCCCAGCTTCATTCCGAAACAAGGAAATTCAGATATACTGCGCGAGCTGCAAGCGGCCGTGGCCCCTGAATGAATGTTATGCGTGCACCGAGTGCATTTGCGGCGTATGCCGGGAGTGTGTGGGAATGTTTGTTAGCAGTCCTCCCGTCTCGTTCAAGAACGTGACCTCTAGTCCGGGCAGCGCAGTGCCTAGCAACAGCGCGGGATACGGCCCTACCAGCTACCCGAGCCCGCGTGGATGTCCACGGTGTCGGACCGTCGGGGGCAAATGGAAAGCATTCCAAATCGAAATCAGGTGAAGAAAACGCTGTCTCCCGTCCGACTCTGAGCATCAGCTAGGACGATTACACTCATTTGGCCGCAATCTTTACTCTGTCTAATGGATAACGATTAATGTTTTGGGATCATGATCATTGAAATCACGCGCAACATGACTTGAAATGTGCAGACACGGGGCGTTATCAATTGTAAGTGGGTTCATGGTTTCAATGCCTTGGCTATACATGACATTTGGCAAGGTATGACCTGCCAACGAGATACTCCCATCAATCAACCCGCTACTCTGTGGTATGTACTGGCAGCATATGGTTGATGAGACTCGAGTTTACGGATGTTGAAAACGTGGATGAATTAAAAAGCTGGGCTTTTGTTATTTATTTCATGATTATGCTGGACGGATATATGACGGGGGCATTTTGGATTTCTCTTTTTTAGGTTAAGATACACTGGTTATACTGGTTTGGATGGGTTTGGTTCAGAATTGCATCTTATTACTCTTTTGGCAGCAATGCATGAAGGTTTTATTTGCCGTACGTCTATGCTATCGCTTCACATTCTGAGTCACAGCAAGATATTGAGATACGAGAACGTTCAATTACTCTGCCCAGATGACGCTGCTCAGGCCTGTGGAAGTCCCAGGCTTTCCAGGCTCTCCGACCTGAAGGTTGGCGACCAGGTCACCCAGCTTTCCACTGGCCGGATCCCGGGAGACAATGGCAACGTTGGAAGAGGACTGGTCCCCGATAGCGACGAGGGTGCCGGCCTTGTTGATGACAAAGGTACGGGGTACCAGGCCGTGGGCAGAGGTGAGTTCCTGGAAGGTCACGGTGCTGTTCTTAGAGCGGGTGAGGGTTGCCAATGAATCATTGCCGGAGAAGGAATGGTCGCTGCGGATCGAGGCATACAGGTTTGATCCAGCTTGCCGCAGCTCGGCCAGCGACACGCCCTCGGGGACTTCCCCGCCCGGGTATGGCACGAAGTCCTGAGTCTCGCGGAAGCCGAGACAGCCAGAGGGGAGGTACGAGACGGCGAAAGCGTGAAAGTGGCGGCTCAATTCACTGACTGTGTACAGCATTGTCGCCGGCCCGTTTTTGGTGGCAGTGTTCTGGTTGCGTAGACCATTGCGAGGTGAGTGGTGAGAAGACCAGAAGAGGCCGTGTCGCGGTCCACTGCCGGGGGTGTAGTTGAGGCTGGGGCAGGTGTTTAGGTGGCCCGATTGCTTGTCGATGGCGTACACGCGGACCGAATCAGCGCCTAGGTCAGGGACGAGGATGAATGAGCCTGTGGGGTCGAGGATGATCTGGTGGGGGTGGGAGGAGTCCTGCTCCGGACGGGGGCCTGGTGGTATCTGGTACCGCAGGATCTGCAGAGGCTTGTCGCCGGATTTGAGGGGGAGGGCAAAGGTCGATACCGCCGAACCGGAGCTTTGTCTGCTGTCAGATTTGTCACGCATTGTTGTGGGAATTGACTTACTAGTGCGCAATGGCCAAGTACTTCGCATCGTCGTCTCCTTCGTACACGACGCTGTGGACGCCACCGCCGACGTCCACCACCTTTGCGAGCTGCGTGAGCGATCCATCCTCTGCGACGGCGTAAGCGCTCAGAGTGCCATTGGTTGTCGCGTCGCCGGTCTCGTCGGAGCAGTAGAGTGTGCTCGTTTCGCCGTCCAGGGTCAACCAGCTCGGCATGCCGCCGCAGGTGGTCTTGGCCGACGCGAGAGACAGATCGTACTTGCCATTGCGATGGTTGAGCGTGAGGGTGTAAACAGAGCCACTGTAGTGGGTGGCATAGAGGGTCGCGGCGGAAGCCAGGGTTGCGAACAGGGGGAGATAGCCTAGCATTTTGTACAGTGGAGTATGCAGGTCGAAGGATTGTCAGTTTACGGGGTAGTTACGAATTATATACTCGGGACTCCGGGAGGATCCCGGACGGAAATGAAGGCGCGACGGTGACATTGTTGTTGTCTTCCTGCAGGAGAGCGGAGCTGGTGGCTGGCGTGGGGAGCGGTAGCTGGCATGGATCTGCATGTTTCTTCATGTTTATGGACTATGAGTGTGTAGCCAACCGCGCGTGGGATGCCAAGAACGTGGGATACAGTTGTATTCGGGTTGAGTTTAAATGAATTATTCGATTCTACTGGTGCTTTGATGCGGTAGATGTCTCAAGTTGATGATGTTACAGCGACACGTCTTCCCCGCGCCAGAAATGGACATCCTTACGGGGTCCGGAGAACCTCCATACTCTTGGAGAAATAGTGTTCCTATTCGGGTAAAGCATGTATGTTTTGAGGCTTGGCATCGTGCATGGTCTCGACTAGTATATATAGAAATTCTGTTCCTGACTGTTGCTCGAGTCACCGGCCATCTTCTATTGCTGCTTTTTACAGTATCTTGGGTTCCAATCGAATCAGTGTGCATACTTACTACTGGTACAGGCCCATATTCTTGGATATACTTTCGTGGTATCCGCAAGTTTCGATGGAATTAGATTAGGAGAGCATGCAGATCATTTCGGAACTGCAAACCTCATTTTTGACGAGTGCGATGAGGACTGTGAATAGTAAGGCATTGATTCATGTGCCGGTTGATGCTTTGTAAAAGCATGGTTCTTGGTATTCTGCCGGAGAGTGAGCTGAAACAACATGAACAAGCTTATTATAATGTCGGCATTCATCCTTATTATTCCACTAAGCTGCTTTCTTTCTCTTCACATATAGCTCTCCTCTTTCTTCACATACTTAGAAGACTTGAGTGATCGACTTAATTATTCACCTGTCTAATAAAGATGCATTCACTATGTAAAGGCTGAGGGAGCATCCAGAGGTTTCAATTGTAGATAAATTGCTTCATCTCCCACTTCCTGCTTCCCTTCCTCTTAATTCTTAATACCGCACTCTCTCTTGCTCATAAACCACTGATGGAGTCTCAATTCTTTCTATCTTGTTGAAATATTATACCACTACGATTATGGATATGCAATGCTAGGCTAAGTCCATCATCCGGACACCTTATTTCTCTACATCTACTCTTTTCTACTCTGGAGCGAAATATGGACGCTCCAGTATTTCGCTGATATCGAGACACTCATTGTCAAAGTACCCTCTGAGCCCCACGAGAGGGCCCACGCAATAATGGGACTTCTTTTTCTGCTTTGGGCGACTGCCATTGCTAAGCAGTCGACGTCGGCGTCGCGCGCGGTTTCGTAGAGGTTGCAAAACCATCATCACATCGTTGCCGTTTCTTGCTGCTTGACCAAGGGAGTGCCCGTCGGGTCGAGGCTGTAACGACGTCGCTGAGACGGTAAGATACTATCTCTCAGCAAAACTCCGCTCCTCTTAGAATTCCGAGGCATTGGCCCGGTGCTAACGAATGGGCTGAGTACAGCTCGTCAAAGTTCCTCCTCCTCAATCAGATCGGCGGGCCTAGGGCCGTTGGGGATCCTTTGAAGGATACAGACCCGACGCAAGAGAGATTCCAATAAATGTTGGGATATGTTCTGAGCAAGGTATCCTTGCCTGAAGACCAAATCCAATTCCTTAAGTCTTGCATTGCGTTCCCTGAATGCGTTTTGATCATACAAGGGTACAAGGGTCTCTCGGAACAGGAAAGACCTTCTTGTTGGCGCTCATCGGACTTGTCTTGCAGATGATGGGCTTTCATATCGTGTATGGGGCACCAACCCACCAGGCTGCCAACGCAAATTGCGAAGCACTGATCATGGAGACCTTGAAAATCCAATATCGTCTTCTGAGAGCGTACGTCAAGGAACGGAACTACGAGAGTCCCTGTGCGAGTCCAAGTCCGAGAGCAGGGCTTTGAGGAGACAGGGGAAGCGGCTATGTCAATCGAAGCCCAGCTACTTATGCTGCGAATCGCAAAAAAAATGTGCAGCACATCATAACAGGTGCTATGGCCTCCCGCAACTGCCTCTCGAGTACCAAGTACTCCAAGGGATCGAAGCAGCCAAACAAGAGGAGCGTACGCTGATTGGCGACAAACAGAGTGCTCTCTCTCGGAGTCTGACTGACTTTGAAGATGTTTCCGAATTAAAGGGACACGAAGTAGACATACTCGCCGAGCTTCGATTGCATCTAGAACGGATGAGGGAGGAGCCACTCAGTGAATGGGAACCAGAGGCGAAAAAGCTTGCGGTCATCGCTTTTAAGCAAGTCTGCCAGTACGTCGCCGGAGAAAGTCAGATCCTCATTTCGACGAACAACAACCTGGCCTCAAACATCTGTTCCCAGCACTTTGAATCAGATTCGAAAGCCGCGTTTCTCATCCGAGATGAGGACACCACTGAGCTCGAAGTCAATGGTTGGATCCCTTTGACAAGTTGCAAATTTTCCCCGAAGATCACTGGCATTGTGCTTGGGGCGACATCTTGCAACTAAAGTCCACTGTTCTCACTGCAAATGATCAACCAGGATGGAACGAGTTCAGCCTCCAGATGGAGACGTCCCTTGTCGTCCACCTTACACGCACCAACCATCCCATTCTGAAGCTAAGAGAGCAACGCCGTTTCAGGCCTTGACGCAATTCCTCAACCAACGTATCTACAAGGGAAATGCGCTGTCACCCTGTGACTAACTCGCTGACGGTCAACGCCGATTGGGACAGAATGATACGGGACGTTTTCCATCCTGGTCGAGCAGATTTTGATACTGGGCATTTCGTGCTCAGTCTGAAAAAATCTTCGTGTGATATTGAGCAGTCAAGTCTATCAAGGTACAATGCTGCTCATATCGAACGCGTGTTGACCTTGATTCTGGCCAACCATATGGAGGTTACAAAGGCGAAGAGACCAAGATAATAACGCCTTATTCAGCTCAATGCAACCTTTACAGAAGCTCACTTTTCCAGATCAGATTGGCGACGACAAACTCACGAGCTCGCAACACATTTGAAGACTGCCGTGCTGATCCCCTGTATGTATCTTCATTCCCCACTTTACTATACAATGTTCTTTTTTTTGTGCCATATCGTGGCTAATATTCTATCTAACAGTCAGAGCGCGAGGTGGTAAAACACCACAAGTAACAGAATCACTCTTCTCTGACACAGATATCACCAGAGACGACATCGCGTCAGAAATGACTGAGTCGAGCTCACGAAAAGATCAACAGCCCCTGAAGTTGCTGTGCCTGAAACGGGATGGCTACCAGTGCGTGGTTACTGGTATATGGGATAAAGTCAGATACAACAGGACACGTGGGGCACTTCGGCAGGTAATGTAGCTTGGGACTGATGCGAAGGGCAAAGGTAATGGGGGAGAGGACAAGAACGGGGACTGGTAATTGTTCAGTTTGTTTTTGACTTCAAGGTTCGATGAACGACTTGCTCCGGTCCAGGAGCAACCTCAAGTCCTTGATGATAATGCGCTGCAGGCTGTTCTGGATGAACCAGTTGCGAGAAAGGTCACAAGATCAGGCTGTACCTATAGTACAACCGGTGTCCAGACAATCGTGGCCTACTGAGTGGCTCCGACTACTATCCAGCTTATGTCTTTAGGCATTCCCGTTAAACTATTGTTACGATTTTATCTCTTTTCTCACTCGTTTCCCATCATGATGATTATGTGTCAATTCTAGCCAACTAGTTATCAATCCCATCGGACACCTTGATCGAACCCTCATCCTCATCGTTCCTTCGTGCTATTATCCATCTAGAGATTGTGCCGCTAGGCTTCTGGAGAACCTTGACTTCTCTCGATTACCCACATACTAATATTTAGTACAGCTAGCAGGATGCATGTACCTAACAGAAGCCAGGCAACAGAGATCTATGAGAGACAACCTCATCTTGGAATCCGCACTCAGGTTGAATGCCAGTACACCCCGCTGGCGCAATCACTGCTGACTTCAGCTCTCGGACTTGCTGGGTCTAAACCTCAAGACGTGAACACTGCTACTCCAACGGAGGCGTCAACAGCCCTCCCTCCATCATCTTCACCTCACTTTGACCGAATTCAGTAGCAGCTCTCATATCCTCCCCGGCAAAGAACCAAACCACCATCTCCGCCGCAACCTCTGCATCATCCACCCCATCGTCCGCCTCAATCGCCCTCAAATACCCCTCTACCACCTCCCCATCCCAGCCCCACCTCCTCCCAAACTCCAGACACGTCTCCCTATTCACAAAAACATCAAACTCAAAATGCCCCTGGAAAGTCAACACCCGTCCGGGAAGATACAGTCCCTGGATAGGACACCGCGGCGTCGAGCCCAGATTCACCCAGTCATCTGGCAGCCTTCGCTCACATACAACCCAATCTCCATGGACAAGCTGCAGCTTCATCTCCTTCCCCTGTTCCTCTGCTGCCGGCGCTGATACCAGGGATGATAGCAAAGGAAACCCAAATCTGGCCACGAACTCCCCCTCCAGCGCAATAGCATGCACACCAACCTCATAACCCCCAGCACAAGCCTCAACCACACACCCCGGCACGAGCGCCCGCGCGAGCATCTGATGCCCGAAACACGAGCCGAAGAGCTTGATGTGCGGGTAATTCACATAGACATCTTTGAGAAAAGCCTGCAGAGAGGAAATCCAGGGGTGTTGGTCTGCGCGGTAGACTGAGGCCGAGGAGCCGGTTAGGAGGATGCCGTCTATACCCCCTCTCTCCCTTAGGAGATGTAGCGGGGGGAATATACCTCCGACGACATCGTAGGAAGACGTGCTTATTGTTATTTCTTTACTGAGGGATTGCGAGAGACGTGCTGCGGCGGAGACGAGGAGACGTGTGAATTGCGAGCTGTAGAGGCCTCGCTTGGTGTAGACTGTTGGGACGGGAACGTCGAGGTCGAGGATGGCGATGTGGAGGTGCATTCTTTTTCTCAGCCTATTTTCTCTTGTGATTGATTCATGAGTGTATTTTGTAGAGGAGTGGTTGAGGATGAAGATGTGCTGGTGATGTGGTGATAGTTCTCGGATCGGGTTACCGGATTTGGAGAGGTTTTCCTGTTGGTGTTTGGAAGTTTAGTTGGCCATCGAATTGATGTAGAGAGATGTTTTGGTTGAAGATATGCTTATACAAGTTAATGTTTATCAGATTATTGTAGCTTGCTTGGTAGAACTATATACTTGATGGAAGTGTATATAGACAGTGTTAGTAGGAGAAATTATTACCATCCTTAACAGTATGAAGGGACCACTACTAAAACTGAAGTAGTTCATTGACATTATGATGAGTATTAGAAATGTGAACTGCTAGCATCTTCACTCTTTAGCTTTGACTAGAGTCAACATGGAAAATAACAGAAGTGATGTACTACCAAGAACTTCACATGTTGATAACATTCTATCTTTATAGTAAGTATTGCGGAGTACTCTGTTGATTCTGTCACATCCCCATCTGATTGCGCCATATCCGCATCACCCCTCCCAATAGTTCTCTCCCAAGACGGCGCCACGAGCCTATGAAAAGAAAGATGCCCTGGCACGCCATCATCTCCGCTATTGACCAATCATTCATACTTGTGCAGTATGGACAACAAGTATATATACCCCTCACCGAGGACATACATAGTAGACTGAATACAACACAAGTATACTCCATACAACTAGGAGACTCTCGACAGGTGATATGGCGCTCACACAACACGCACCTCCCCCCACCCTCTTCCCCGACGGCCTCAAAACAACAGGCCAACACCCTCCTCTCTATGAGCATCTCCACCCCTTCGAGCGCTTCCCCAAGGAAATCACAGGCCCTACGGTCTGGACAGCAGCCGAGTACCGCGACCACCCCGAGAAATGGACGCACCGGTTCACACAAGAGGAACTGGACGAGCTGAGTCGCACAGCGGACGAGTTCATCAAAAATAAGATTCCCTTGACGGGGATTTCAAAGGTACCCCTCCCCCAACACTTCCACGGGACATGATTGATGCTAAGTACAGTAGAAAAACTTCCCCCTCCCAAACCTAAGCACCCACCTGCTCGCCCTCCGCCACGACCTCATCAACGGCCGAGGCTTCATCCTCTTCAAGGGCCTCCCCGTCCAGCAATGGGGCAACCACAAGTCCGCCGTCGTGTACATGGGTCTCGGCACGTACCTGGGCTACTTCGTTAGCCAGAACAGCCGCGGCCATGTACTCGGCCACGTCAAGGATCTAGGCGAGGATCCCTCGCAGATCGACAAGGTGCGCATCTATCGCACCAACGCAAGGTAGTACCCGATCCCATGGAGGATAAGGCCAGGCCAGCTGATTGACGTAGACAATTCTTCCACGCCGACGACTCGGATATCGTCGGCCTGCTGTGTATCGCGCGCGCGCTCGAAGGCGGCGAGTCGGACCTCGTCTCCTCGCATCAGGTGTATAATATCCTGGCGAAGGAGCGGCCCGATGTGCTCAAGACGCTGACGGAGCCAATCTGGTATTTTGATCGAAAGGGCGAGACGTCCAAAGGTCAGGATGAGTATATTCGGACGAGTGTGATGTATCTCGAGCGCGGCGATAACCCGCGCGTGTATACCAAGTGCGTTCCCTTTCTGCCCTGCTCTGCATGAAATGTGGACTAATGGTGACTCAGGTGGGATCCGTACTATGTCCGCTCGCTGGCCCGCTTCTCCGACGCGGGGATCATCCCCCCACTGTCTGCGGCGCAGCTGGAAGCCATCCAGGTGCTGGAGGACACCTGTCTGCAAAACGCTTTGCATATGATTCTGGAGGTCGGCGATATCCAGTTCCTCGCCAATTCACATGTGCTGCATGCGCGCACGGCTTACAGGGACCATGCGCCCCCGGCGCCGAGGCGGCATCTGATGCGGCTGTGGTTGGCGACGCCGGAGGACGAGGGCGGCTGGAAGTTGCCGTTCTGGGATAGCAATGAGAAGAAGCGAGGGGGGATTCAGGTGGATGATCAGCCGCCGGTGGCGCCGCTGGATGCGGAGTAGTCTTCTAGTTGTATGATACCTTCAATGTAATCCATATGGTGAATAATCATTATCATTAATCGTACGATGGATGCAACTACTGCACTATTTTGTAGTTCCCTCCACTGATAATCTCCAACTTGCCCTTGGCGACCATGCCCGCAAGAAACTCGCGCAGCTCCTCGTTGCTGAATGGAAAGCCCCCAGGCACCGCGATCTTGAGCATCATCACGATGCGCTGCAGCGGCATCGCGCCTTGATTGGTCAGCATGCCGACGATAAACTGCCAGTACAGGTTCATTTTCTCCATCGCCGCCGCCTCGGCCGACTCCTTGGCTGCAGCCGCCGCTGCTGCATCGGCTGCTGCCGCGGCGCTGGCCTGACCAGGGTCCGCCGACGCTGATACGCCCGCGGCACCGACGGCTCCCGTGTCATCGTCATTGGGTAGGACCTCCAGGACGCGGAATGTATTGCGCTGCACTTCGCTGAGGATGCGTTTGCTGACCCAGAATAGACACGCACTGCGCACGAGCGCCGTCGACATGCCGAGTTCGGCGGACAACTCATCCACGGTTTTGGTGGCCCCTTCCCCAGAGCCAAAGGCGTAGATCACGGTGGCCTGCCAGGTCGTCACTTCGTCCACAAACACTCGGTCCTCGAGATCCAGCTCGACGGTGACCTGTCCCATCCCGTTGAGCCAGGTGAGTTTGCGGGATTGTTTGAGCGATCCGAATCCCGTCGCGTAGCGCTCCTGCAGCGCCGCAATTTCCGGGGGCACCTTGAATTCCTGTGCGGGAAATTCCGGCCAGAAGAAGTGCGAGAGGATCTTTGCATGCAGCTCAGGCCTGGTGTCGTCTTCCTGCTGGACGAGCCCTTGGTCGTTGCGGACAACGGCATCAACCCGGCGAGAGTCAAAGATATCCCGTAACATGACTTCGCATGCTTGCAGGGCATTGTCCCCGAAGCGTACCTTGAGCAGCTCCAAGACGGACGTCTCCTGCTCGAAGTCTGCGCGTTTCTGCAGAAGGCGCTCGGCAAGCATGTTCTGCATTTCCCTGACGAACGTCTCTTTGGACTCGAACAGACTAATCAGACTGCCAATGACGTCGGAGCTCTTGGATTTCCTGTAGTCCGGCGCTGCGTCTACCGGGTCCGGCATCCAATTCATATCATCCCAGTCCAGCTCGCCAGAGTCGGCCCGCAGTGAGTTCTGGTGTGCTTTGGCTAGCTCGGCGGACAGCTCCGCAAGTGTCTCTCCGGTAGACGGGAGATGGGGCTCCTCCGTGTCGGAAGCATCCGCCAGAAGGCCACCCACGATGACCTTGACAGTATCATCGCGATCGCGTAGGTACCTGCGAATAGGCCGAGCAACCCGGTCGAGCAAAACACCTTTGGGATCTAGTAGGTTGAATGCGCGGATGATGGAAATGTACACTCGTAAGATATCAATGGTCGACGCCCCGGGATGCAACAACCTTTGGTTGAGCACCTTGATGAACGCTTGCGTCAGACAGTACCGTGCGGCCGGATGGGTCGTAAAGTGTCGCAAGTCCTCGATTGCACCGCTGCTCGCGGGCCACTCGACAATAATATCAAACAGCTCCCGTGTTCGGAGTGACCCCAGGCGTGAGATTCCCATCTCCTGCCACTTCTCCACATCAGCTAAACTCACATCCAGACGTCCCGAGGCGTTCGATTCAATCTCGTCGCGGTTGATGATCGCCAGAGCCTGTACAACCAGCCGAGCAAACACATTCTCAATCCACTGTCGCAGGTGCTGGCTGACCAACGACGGCCCCTCCCACTGGTTGGCGTATGCAGATTCAATAAAGACCGTCAGCATCATGTCCATCACGCTGGCAAAAACCTTTTGGGCCTTGTCCCCGCCTAGGCCAACGAGCTGCAAGCTTCTCAATAGTGATAGCAGGCGTTCGCGGGTAGCAACGACTCGCACGTCCTCGTACTCTGCCATCATCTGCATTCGAATCTCCGCGGACGGCTCTTCCCGCCAATCCTGGTACGAGACAGAATACTGCCGGTCGACCTCCATATTATCCATACTGACGGTATCGTCAAAGTTTGCTTCCTCATCCAAAGAGTCAATCCCCAGGATAATGAGCGCGTCCTTTGTGAGCTCTCGGAAGAGCAGCTCGGATACTCGTGACCAAGGCAGGGCATACCCCACCACCATTTGGAACGTGTAGGCCATTGCGCGAAGTTCCCGTTCGTGATCGGCATGGTTCAGGAGCGGTAGTAGATATTCCACGAAGGGAGCAAAGTACAGCCGTCGTGCAAGTCCGAGGATTCGTACAATACTCTGTAACTGTCCCTTGTGCTCAGAGTCCAAAACCTGGTATTATCAGTACTATCATCATCGTCATCATCATTAGGTCAAATACCTTTGTCAGAACTTCGTGAAAGTTGCGCAGAAAATGTACCCGTATCTCCAGGCGGTACCACTCGAGTATACTCTGCTGCTCCGTCGCAAGACCTTCTCCCGTAGCCAACGGTATTAAATAGCCGAATGCATCCTTGACCTCTTTCGTAAAGCTCGTACGACCTCTCCACTGCTGCAGAAACTCCCCATCATCATCCGACTGCGTTAAATCCGCAAGTCCTTCGCTCGGTAATTGTAGAAACGCAGTCGCTACATGCCACGCACGATCCCAAGTTTCCTTGTCATATTGTTCCTGGTCATCAATCCTCTCGGACTGGGAATGATGCGGACTTTTTGCGCTGGCTAACCGAGACGCTGGCGCGGTGGTGAAATACGCGGGTGGGAAGACGGAGCCGAAGACGCGCTTGCGGCTGGCAGATATGGTCGAAGGCATGGCAATGAAGACAAGATCAATCCGGACGCATCGTGGGGCCGATGGTCATGAATCGCTGCCCTTGTACGTCGTACAGGGCTATATTTTGTGGCTTCTCGTGCTCGCGGTGAGGTCGTTATCTCTATCGCTATCGATGTTGTCGCGTGGGTGCCAAGGAATCGCGCTATCACGTGATTTACGCATAACGCATAGAGAGCAGATTACAGCGATCAAAAAAAGAAGAGGTTATTGTTAAGAGCAATTGGAATTGACTCAGGCATGTATAGGCTGTAAGGAAAATATCTATGCAAAATATGCAAGTAATCGCCACCGATCGTTATCTATGGGTATCAACTGAGGCAATCGAATGCGTATGGCGCGGAGTACACGTAGATCAACAGAGATGTATCACAGAGCATAGCTAACTCCTGACATTGTTGCTGACCCAAATGATCGAGGACTGGCTAAGGACCATTGTTATCATCCACCTTCTCCCATTCACTATCCGTGCTATGGTATCCCGAGCTCTCACCACTGACGCTGAGTCGCTTTCGCGCCTGCAGTTCAGCCGGGKGTTGGAGAGTAGCCGACGCAGAGGCCGTGGTAGGTGCAGCGCCCGTAGCAACGCCTGTGGCAGCTGTGGCCTTGCTCTTCTCCTTCACGACCTCAGTCTCGGTATCACTGTCACTGCTGTCCAGGGCCCCCGGTGGCTTCGTGCTACCACCCCTCCGCTCCTTGTCCTCGTGTGTCTCCTTGGGCGCCTCCTGTGCCTGTACCTGACTCAACTCCTGAGCAAACCAGTTGATCGACCACCATAGAGCCGCGGAAAGAACGGAGAGCACAACGAAGTGAATGCTGTATGTGGCTAGGAGGAGCACGAGCAGGAGGACTTGCAGGGCGGCGAAGGTGACATTGGTCGCGATCAGCAGCGACGGGGTGGGACCCGGGGTAAAGACGCTCGACCAGAGGTCCTCCACAAATGATCCCATGATTGATTACGGCAACTGACAAGGGCAAGGTCGGTGGATCAGGCTTCAAGGAATTCTTGCGGGGTTGATGGTAAAACTCGGTTTGTTGACCAGGGTCAAAGGAGCAATGACGTTGAGGGTCGGAAACTGAAATCCGTCGAATCTGCAGGGCAGAAAGGTTACTGCATGATAACATTAGTGATACTCTATGCTCCTCAAGTAGAGACGCAGCGAAAGAGGATCACAAACTGGGATGACGCCTCGTAGAAAGCGAGAACAGCAGTCAAGCTTGCAGTGATGGGATTTCGAAGAAGAGAGTTGAGGCAGACTGAGAAGTGGTGACCTGCACCTTCAGAAAGTCGGCGGATGACCGAGAATGACGGTCGGCGTTTGACTGGTGATGATCAAGTGGGGAATAAACAAGAGGACGACTGGAGTATGCCCCAGGATTTGCAAGGGATCAAGGTGAGATTTCGGTTGATTCAACAGCTATCTATCTACCCCGTGGGGATGATTCAGATGGAGGCTAGGAATATGGATAGGCTGCGATATATTGTAGGGAGGACTTTGTAGACAAAACAGCGGATGAAGAGGGGCATCAGTTGCAAACTGACGCTAGCACTTTTTAAGCAGATTAGGTATCTAGAGACCGCGTCAGGTAGATATCTATCTAAACATTAGATTCTAAGGATACAATTCCTCCTCGTTCCTAAAACCGAAAGCCCCCGAAGTATATACCCTGCCCAGTAGGCTACTCCGTATAGTCTTCATGACAACTGCGGGTGACAGCGACAAGTAAGGAATGAGGCAGATCACGTTGTATTTATCACAGCACGTAAGCACGGGATAATGATCAGCTTGCTCGTATACCTATCCTCGAATCATTTTCCGATCGGTTTTCGCCCTGAGCTTCCTCCACAATTCCCTTGCCGTCGGGCCGACCACAGTTGCCAACCATATTTCCCTGCTGGTCGTCATGGCTCATCTCGTGTGATCGGCACGTGCCGTCCTCTACGCTGTCACGGGATTCCTTACATGAGGAGATACAGAAAGTTGAGCAGTACACAGAATCGACTAAAGCAGTCAGCTATCAATCTGACCTGAAGAAAGACAGAATCCTCACTAGTTCTATGACAGACACCTTGATTCTAGTAAATTCGAGCATCTACAGCCTTGGTTCGACTTCGGCAGTCCCATGAATCCACCCGTCTAAAACGCCTTGTCGAGAGCGCCAAACCGATCCGATACCCACTTGGTATTTCCTCTTTGGGTTAAGAGTCTCCTCTCACTTCCAATAGCCGTCTGCTGCAAACGGCCTCGCTGCTATTCGACAGTCTCTCTATGCGGATCTACATCTCCTTGGACCCAGCATCGTCCAGTTATTGTTACCTGATTATTAGGGTTTGTTTCTTCTTTGCTCTTCTGTGCTTCCCCGCCTCAGGAATCATGGCCCGGGTAGAATCCGACTTGACCGTCCTACCTCGAAGGTCTACGAATCAGCGATCGTGCTCGGTCTTTGCACTGTCCAAGTCTCAATCACAACGGATTCCCCTGCGTAGACCTATATAAATCATGCTTCGGCTCTGTAGCTTTTTCCTGTCCTCTTGCATCTGACTAGCCACAAGTCTTGTCCTCCGCCACACCTTATTGAACAACCCCCTTCCCTCTTTCTCCCTCTACTAGCCAGGTATGGCAAACAAACACCCTGACCTCGCCAAAGAGGTCTCCCCAGATGGTCGTGTAGGGTTCAGCCATCATGCGGAGGATATTATCACCGACCGGGAGCCCTATGGGCCTCCCGGTCTTCGTGGTCTAATCTCAAACCCGTTTGTCTTTCTCTGTGCCGCATGCTCGACGCTTGGTGGTCTGGTCTTTGGCTACGATCAAGGTGTGGTGTCTGTCATTCTGGTGATGGACCAATTCCTAGAACGCTTCCCGGAGGTATCTCCTAATGCATCCGGTGCTGGTTTCTGGAAAGGTCTCATGACGGCCATGATCGAGCTGGGGGCTCTCCTTGGTGCGCTCAACCAGGGATGGATCGCGGACAAGATCTCTCGCCGGTACTCCATTATTGTTGCCGTCATCATCTTCACGATCGGGTCTGTGCTGCAGACTGCCGCGGTCGACTATGCCATGTTGACTGTGGCTCGATTTATTGGAGGGTTGGGAATCGGTATGCTGTCGATGGTTGCTCCGTTGTACATTTCCGAGATCAGTAAGTGGCCTGGTCATTTTCAGTCGGGATAGCACTGACAGTTCGCAAGGCCCTCCGGAGTGCCGCGGTACTTTACTGGTGCTGGAAGAGTTTTGTATTGTCCTTGGTATCGTCATCGCATTCTGGATCACATACGGCACCCGATTCATGGCGGGGGAATGGTCCTGGAGACTTCCCTTCCTCCTGCAGATGATTCCCGGCTTTGTCCTCGCTGGCGGTGTCCTCGCCTTACCCTTCTCTCCTAGATGGCTCGCGGCCAAAGGCCGCAACGAAGAAGCTCTCCAGAGTCTGTCGAAGCTGCGTCGGCTGCCTCCATCCGACCAGCGAGTCCGCCAGGAGTACCTCGACATCCAAGCCGAGGTCCGCTTCCACCAGGAAATGAACGCAGAAAAGCATCCTACCCTCCAAGGAGGCGGCACTCGGAAATCCTTCCTGCTGGAAATGGCCTCCTGGGCAGACTGCTTCAAGAAAGGTTGCTGGCGACGAACTCACGTAGGCATGGGCCTCATGTTCTTCCAGCAGGTGAGTAACTGGCATTCTCTTCTCCCTCGATCCCCGCTTACACACCCTAGTTTGTCGGCATCAACGCCCTCATCTACTACTCCCCCACCCTCTTCGAGACCATGGGCCTAGACTACGACATGCAACTCCTCATGTCCGGCGTCCTCAACATAACCCAGCTCGTCGGCGTCATGACCAGCGTCTGGACAATGGACAGCCTCGGCCGCCGCGTCCTCCTGCTCTGGGGCGCCCTCTTCATGACAATCTCCCACGTCATCATCGCCATCCTCGTCGGCCTCTTCTCCAATAACTGGCCCGCCCACCGCGCCCAAGGCTGGGTTAGCGTCGCTTTCCTATTCTTCTACATGCTCAGCTTCGGCGCCTCCTGGGGTCCTGTCCCCTGGGCTCTTCCGTCTGGTATGTTCTGCTAGCGCATCCCTCCCTCACCCTAATCCTGAATAAAACTAACAACAGCAGAGGTCTTCCCCTCCTCCCTCCGCGCCAAGGGCGTGGCCCTCTCCACTTGCTCAAACTGGCTGAACAACTTCATCATCGTAAGCTCTCCCGATCAACCATCCAAATCATGAGAATCAAGCTAACAACGGCAGGGACTTATCACCCCGCCTCTGGTCGAAAACACCGGCTACGGCGCGTACGTCTTCTTCGCCGTCTTCTGTCTCCTCGCGCTCGTCTGGACCTTTTTCTTCATCCCCGAGACCAAGGGCCGCACGCTCGAGCAGATGGACCACGTCTTCAAGGACAATTCCAGTGAAGCGGAGAAAGCCCGCCGACACGCTATCGAGGCGGAGCTGTTGCGCGCCGAGTATGAGTATCGGAATAACGATGTTGTGGCTTGATTTATGCTGGGGGTTTGTGAACAGAACAGTCCACGGGTGGACTTGGTTCTTCTCTTCTCGATGTACATCACTTGAACAATAGCTAGCATATAACGACGATTATGACTACTCTAACTGTCCTTATCAAATAATTCTTCAACGAATGTGTTCTTCATCACCTTGATAGTCTTCAGTCAAGATTCATACAGCGCCTTACCGGAGTGTCGTCTCACAACTGCATCCCCTCAAACGATCTTTCCAAATCATCCGCCCTCGTCACTCCCTCCGCAACCCGGTGCTCCCTCCCCCCAACCGGCTCCCCACACTCAGGACACGCCGTCTGCTGCATCGCACCACCGCACTCCCCAATTGTAAACGGGTGTCCATTTCGGCAGTAATACCAATGCCCCGTGCCATGGAACTCGTGCGCCATGGCCGCTACCACCGCCATGCGCTCCTCGTTCGTCACCACGGCGTAGAAAGTCGAGTCCCGGAGCATTTTGTCGACGCTGTCGATATCGGGCAGGAGACCTCTCGTCTGGGTTGGGTGCTGCGTGCAGAGGGATCGCGCGCGAGCGACGGCGGCCTGCGCTTCTTGAAGGTGTGTCTCCGCGGCTTGTGGCGAAAGGGTCTGGGATCTTTCCAGGGCGTGGAGGTGCGCAAGGAAAGTTTGGCCCTCTGCTTGCTGCCGGATACGGCCGGAGTCGTCTGCGAGGTTTATGAGCGTGGAGCACTGATCTCTTGCGTGTTGTAGATTGAGGGAGATAGTGATATTGCCCGTTTGTGACGAGGCCCGGCCCTTGACGGTAAGGAAATCGGTTAGCAGGGCGATGTCGAGACGGAGGTTCAGGGCCGTAGCAAGGAGGACGCCCTTTGACTGGAGGATGGTGTTGTCGAAGTCAAAGTCTCCGTCGGTCTTGTTCCTTCGTTTGGCGTTTTCGACCATGCTGCGGACTCGGTCGTAGGGCTGTTCGTCCAAGGCTACTCGTTTGCGGTAGGCGACGACCTTGTCGCGAAGCCTGATTATATCCTTCCACCGGCCAGGGGCTGTGCGGTGAACTAATTCCGTCATTATCTTGACATTCTGCTGGATTGAGCCCTCCAGTTGCAGATGGTCGGGCCAGACTGGTCCTTTTCTACTTGCGGCGTTTGTTTCCTGCATTAGCTTCACCTGTCGGGCGAGCTCCTCCTCCAGTGGAACGTATTCACGGTTCAAGTAAAGGATGAACTTCTTGGTGGATTCGTCCAGGAGCGCTCGACGCACAAGTCGACCGTATCTGGCAAGATCTCTCAGTGACCCACGACAAGTGGCACAGGTTTTGATATCATCCATGGAGAATGGGCACGACGCATCGTTGATCGATATAGGTCTTCCTTGTTCATCGAGTTCATAGTGCTCTTGCAAGGCCATTTGCCCGTCCATGCTTTCCATTGTCAAGAAATGGCCGCACCGAGGGAAAATGCACGGA